TGTCATCTCCAACATCAAATTGACTTGATCTCCTCAACATGAAGGAGCAATTTCATCCTCAGAAAATCAGATCTTCTCATCACGAAGGAACCATATTGTCTCCAAAGTATCTCCTAATTGACCAGAATTCCTCAACGAGAAGGAACAGTGTCATCTTCAGTAAATAATTTTGAAAGTGGCAAGATCTCTTCAATGTAAATGAGCAGTGTCGTTTTTAACCTCAACTGATGCCTTTAAAAAGAGAGTGAAGAGTTCATAATAAGAAGAATTCGGAGCTCAAGACTTGTTGATGGTCCAAAAATTGGTGTTTTACGTCTTTGCTCTATTCATGTTTTCACAGTAATGAGCAAAGAGGGGCAGCTGTAATAACCAATTTTTGTCTCCCATACTGCCCATACCTTGTTGTTCCCCACGCAAGCACCCTGCCCAAAAGCAGCTCCCATACCTTGCTGTTCCCTAGGTCATCACCATACTTCGATGTTCCCGATGCATGCACTAGCACACCATCAAATGCTGCCCATGCTAGCATTTTACATTTATGCAGAATTAACTATTTTTCTTGTAATGGGTATTTAACCACGAGAAAAAGCAACGAAAAAGGGGACGAAAAATGGGGAAATAAAAACACTGTAACAAAAATTTCTCAGCAAGGAACATATTCTTCAAGCAATTGAAAATACCAAGAGAAAGAGGTATTTTATTTTCAGTTTATCAGTTCAATTACATGAATGCTAAAAAGTAGAGTTTAGTTTCTAGTTTAATTCTAAGTATTATGTGAATCCTAGAGCTTAAAAAAATAAAAGATAAAAGAGGTTTAGGAACTTAACTTACTGTCGGGGTTCGACCAGTGCCAGAGCTGTTGTCCGGGGGTAAGTTGGAGTCGGACTAGGGAAGTTTAGGTTGAACGGCCACCGCATATGGTGGTCGTTCGTTGCCTGGTTCTAGATCGAAGCAAAGAGGAGGCGTGGGGACGTGTTGTTGTCCATGTGCGTTCTCGGTTACTGACTGGCCGAGGCGTCGTTTACTCCGACTAGTCAGAGGGTTGGTTGTCGCCGCACGCGTGAAGAGAGGAAGAAGGTTGTTAGGGTGTAGAAGAGGTTCGGGTTGAGTGAAACCAAAAGAATAAGAAGAAATTATATTTAGGAATTTTGGGTTATATCACGCTCAGATCCCTGAAACTTTAGCGTATTTTGTGTTTCAGTCACCACATTCGTGGGTAAATATCCGTTAAGTCCTTGTTGTTTTTGTCGTGTTTTATTTAGATCACTAGGTTGACCGTTTGTTTGTTTATTTCAATTCGGGCTGCATGTTCAAGTTTTATTTTATTTTAGTCACTTGTTTGTAAAGTTTATTTATTTTATGTTATGGTTTGCCATATTTATATATTTACATTTTAAACCATATTATAATATTTATATACATATATCATGTTTCAAATGTACTCATGCATATGTTAATTTATTTTTTATTTTATTTCGTGCACATGTTGTATCATATGTAATTATATACATACTTATTAAATTTATTTTATGTCCTTGTATATTCATATATGAAAATGTATTGTAAATGTTTATTCCATTTCATTCAATGTGATTTATTTTAACTTGTAAAATATCTAGTTGCCAATATTTTTATTTGTTCGAATATTTTCAAGAACAATGATTTGTAGAATAGGCGTGGAGAGCATCGCTTGATCGAAGTGGTGTAATCTGATATGACGTTCGAACAAATGTGAACTTGAAATAAAATTGATTTTATTTTGCTTATTAATTATTTTTATTTTAATATGAGCAATGTGATGCATGTTACTAAATAGCGGTTGACTTTATATAAAGATCGATTTTTATTTTATATTCGATTTACATTTTTAATCAATGAGGAGTGAATATTCTTTTACTAATAAGAAATAGCCGAGTTAACTTTCTCGATGAAAGATTGCTAATTTCGAGATTTCTTTTTGAATTAAGGAAGTTTCTCTAATTAATAAATCCGAAGCACATTAATCAATGTTCAATAAACGGATCATATTTTAACTTTATATTCGATTTATATTTTCCACCATTACGACAATGTGTAAGCGACATAGTACCAGTTTTGGGCGTTGTGGGGTGCTTATCTTTCCCCATGCGTAATCGACTCATGGACTCATCAAATCAAAATTCTGGTAAACGCAAACCAAATTGTCTAAAAAATGATTTTTCTTAAAATTGTTTAAAAGACGTTTATGTATTCCAAATTAAAGTCATAACTGTTTTTAAAACTATAAATAATGGTTTCACCTAAAAATGGTTATGACAATAGCGATTTACTGGAAATATTAAAAAAATATTAACATTTCCAATAACACATTTCTTTAACTGTATATTAAGGTTGTCGTACCTGAGACATCCGTGACATTCTTTATATTTGTATCAAAGAAAAGAATTGACATGTCAATTATTGTAATCTTGATCATATTTAAAAGAGAAAATAACCTCAGTGATCAAAAATCCCAGATAATATACTATTTTGACCAACTTTTTTTGGATTTGCGAAAATGACCAACAAAATCGCAATGCGATCTCTAATTCGCATTGCGATCTCCACTATCGCAAATTCGCGTTGCGATAGTTGAAAATCGCGTTGCGATTTTCCATTTCGCGTTGCGATAGTTGAAAATCGCGTTGCGATTTTCCATTTCGCGTTGCGATAGTTGAAATTCGCGTTGCGATTTTCCATTTCGCGTTTGCGATTTTCCAAATTCGTTGCGATAGTCTACAGTTGTCGTTGCGATTTTCCAAATTCGTTGTGATAGTTAAAAAAAAAAGATTTTGTTTCTTAAGAATTTTCTCTAAAAAGATAGTATCCGCGCGGACGTGTCGAAGACACGTAACCACGACCACGACCACGACCACGACCCGAGACGAGACGAGACGAGACGAGACGAGACGAGACGAGACGAGACGGACGGCGGCGGCGGCGCGCGAGAGTCCCCCTTGTTCTCTATCACTCAACTAGGAAGTGGGAAAGCCAAGCCTTAAATACCATTCCCAATAGTGTTTCCAATACTATGTGGGATTTGAGCATTACCAACACTTGTTCCCAATACTATGTGGGATTGAGCCTTAAATAGTGATATTATTTTTGAATGTTTTGCTTAAAATTACAATAATCGCGATTGATTGTAGATTGACTTTTAATTATGACATATTTAATCGTATAATACTAATGTAATTGGTTGTTGATTCAGTTGTTTTAAGGTGCATGATTGTTAATTGTTTCCTGAATAATCACATTATATTAGAAACAAGTGTTGGTAATGCTCAATCCCACATTGTATTGGAAACACTATTGGGAATGGTATTTAAGGCTTGGCTTTCCCACTTCCTTGTTGAGTGATAGAGAACAAGGGGGACTCTCGCGCACCGCCGCCACCGTCCGTCTCGTCTCGGGTCGTGGTCGTGGTCGTGGTCGTGGTCGTGGTCGTGGTCGTGGTAATGGTAATACGTGTCTTCGACACGTCCGCGCGTATACTATCTTTTTAGAGAAAATTCTTAAGAAACAAAATCTTTTTTTCAACGAATTTGGAAAATCGCAACGACAACTGTAGACTATCGCAACGTGAAATGGAAAATCGCAACGTGAAATGGAAAATCGCAACGCGATTTTCAACTATCGCAACGCGAAATGGAAAACCACAACGCGATTTTCAACTATCGCAACGCGAATTTGCGATGATGGAGATCGCGTTGTGATTTCAACTATCGCAACGCGAAATGGAAAATCGCAACGCGATCTCCAACTATCGCAACGCGAAATGGAAAAACGCAACACGATTTTCAACTATCGCAATGCGAAATGCAACGTGAATTTGCGATAGTGGAGATCGCAATGCGAATTAGAGATCGCATTGCGATTTTGTTGGTCATTTTCGCAAATCCAAAAAAAGTTGATCAAAATCGTATATTATCTAAGATTTTTGGTCACTGAGGTTATTTTCTCTATTTAAAAAAATATGAAAAGGAACTATAATTTATAAATAGAAAATGGAATTAAAAATTGGCAGTGGTGGTAAAATGGAATTCAATTGCTTGGCAATATCAAATTCATTGGGAACTTTACAATAGTAAAGTGATTTCTTTCTTTCTTTCTTTCTATCCTTCATTCTTTATGGTTTCTTTAAGAGTGGGCTATGCTTATGCTGTGTAATAAACAAGGGCAAGAGTCAACACCAGGTCCACCACCATCTAACAAAAGATTCCCACACCACCCTCTGCTTTACAACCATAAATAGATTTATACACATGCAAAAACCCTTTTCCGAGTTGATTGCCTAATAACCCTTTGCACAGCAGAAGTCTTACTGTCTAATAACACTACTTTAACCCTATGTATGTGTGTATGTACATGTTAATATTAAGCCAAAGCAAACATCAATAACCAGACACCTGTCTACCACAAGTAGCCTCCTCAGCTAGGTTTTATACTCAAAAAGAAAGGAAATAGAAAAGAAACAAGTAAAGCATCCTTCCCTGTTTTCTTTCTTTCTTTTTTCCACTTTATCTCTCATATCATTAGACTTTCACATAATCCAATGCTTTTCAATTGTCTAACACAACAAAAAGACAACCCCCATCACTTCCTGCTTTTCTGAATACCCTTTTGGAATCACTATAGTCTATATATACATCCACCACCTAGTAAAAAATTATTGGTTGGTATAAGCAAGGGATAAGCAATGAGTGCTACCATGTATCAACTATTTGTTAATAAGAAACCAGCTAAATGCATAGACTAGCTATGATATATTGAAATGTGCCCTTATGTATCATGTTATCGTCACTAATCTGATTATCATGCAGTGATAATAATTAAAGGAAGCATGGGAGTCGATGTAACATTTCTATCATAACCTCTGCAAGAAGATAAGTAACATGTTTCCTTATTAGTTCTATATTTGGTCAATCTGCAAAATCGATATACATAAAAAGATTAAGAGATTTTTAAGAGAGGAGCACTCTAAGGAGTAAAGACAGATGGTGCAAAAGAGAGAGAGAGAAAAAATTAAAAAAATATCGATCACCTCTTCTCCTTAACCAAAACTAAAAGCATAGAACACAAGGGTTACCATAAGACAGCATTGTCCTCCAGAATATTGTTCACAAAATAGTTCCTCCGTGTCGGATTCTTTGATCTCTTGTTGTGACAAAGGTGACGAAAATCAGTAATAGACTGATCTCACTCTGGTAATATTAAACGGTTGAACAGGACAAGGAAACTTTGCTCAGGCACAACGTAAAGGAAGCCTAGATCAGCTCCTTTGACATAGGGTCCAATGCCCTGCATATGGACAACCACAGGGATTTCTTTCAGTTCAAATAGTTAGGAAAATCACCAAAATACTTTCGGTTTCAACTCAAATAAAAATTATTAATAAAAAGTCCCGAATTTTTAGTTACCTTGCCATGAAGTTGGAGAAGCTCACCCTCAACCCATCGTGGATTACGGAAACCAAATTCTGCTATTCTTCCCTGACCTTTGTAGCATGCAACCTGTATTTTTATAGTTTTTCCCATAAATTTGAAGTCTTAAAAGTCCAAATTAATGTTAACCAATATGAGGTTCTGAATGAAGTCCAATTTATATGAATGAGATAGCTGAGATATTTTGGGCAAAATCTTACACCAAATTCAATACCACCTAGCATTGCTTCTCACAATGCAACCAAAGGAGAAAGATGGAGGAATTCAATAACAGGGTACATGCTTTTGTCTGTATGAGTGACAGATTATGATTAATGATTTACTGAAAGAATTCCAATAATAGACTGAATAATTAGAAACTTTTCCTGCCAAGTTGCTTTCGCAGTTATAGGACGACAATCTATTTGTTTCATTTCATGAGCTTTCAAGTTCGTACCCATAAATTATCAATCTTCCAGGTCTCATGCATTTTGAAATGACCAAAAGAGACTTCCACAGTGACAAAATCACTGGCAACATGCTGTACTGTAACACACTTTAGATAGTAAGGGGGACATACAAACTGATAGAGAGAAACTAGAGTAATTACCACTCTTAACTCATCTGGATACAACCCACGGTTAGGGAGGCGGCTCTCTTTTCCAATTTTGGCACGAAAAGTAACCTAAAATTGTAAAAGGCATATTGATTACCACAGGCATGTTCTATCAACAACATTACAACATAAAATTGACACACACTGATGCAAGAAATAAGCAGGACAACAATCAATAGATTTATCTAAGATACAATAAAATGAAAAAGAACCTGGCCAGCCGGAACATTGAGATCTCCAGTAAGCTTCACAGCTTCAACATACTCAAAGAACTCAACAACAGAAGATAAATCATCTGCATCACTCCAGCGACCATATTTACGCCTCAGTTGAACTATTTCAGTTCCATAAGGACCAAATGCACCAACATAGAGGCCTGTAGTCCAATCAGCTTGTATCAATCAATGATGCTTAGCGTGTGGGGGAAGAAAAAAAAGATACCATACGAATACCCACCCTCAAGTGGGTCCAAATTGCCATTGTCACTGCTAATTCGGTTGAAATTTGTATACTCAGATAATCTGCTCCGCCTCTGTGCCTGACTAACAGCAAGTTTGACAATTTCGCGCACATCTCTAGAGACCTAAAATAACATTAGTTAGTCATATACTTATCAAACTCAGTTATCAAACGTCGACCTATACACATCATCCATTATTTAAGGAAAATATATTTGACCTCAAAATCAGAATTTCCTCCTATTTTTAAAATGGCACAGTGGTGATAGAGCAGCTACTTAGCACTTCAACAGTACTCAATAGGGAGCATGCTGGCTACATATTATTTAATAAGTGTAATACGACCTACAGATTGAAAAGGATGTCAGGTTTTTATAAGTTGAAAGATTTATTAGAATCCAACATCTGGAAGAACATCTGGAAGAGTTTCAGTTATGCTTATCCCACTAAAAAAGCCTTCGATAACACCAATGAGAAGAATGTTGGTATACTATTTAAATCTTAAAGTTAATTATCTGAATCCGGTGGTTCAAATTTAAATCTCACCTTAGAAGAAGCTTTATCTGAACCCCAAAATGCCTTGGCAACATCTGGAGGCATAAGCTCAGAAACACCTTGAGCTGCAATAGCTGCTATTTTCACTTTAGATGCTTTACTTTCTCCAGTATCACTCTCTAAACTCCTCTTGGAAAAATGTAGCAGAAAAGAATCTCTCTCCAAGTCCTTTATATCAGCTGGAAGACGGATATATTCATCCTTAGTAGTAGTGTCCTCATTTTTATGGACAAGCCCACCTATGAAAAGCTTCATATCCAAATCATTTCTGTCATCTAGATTGCCAGCCTGCCCCATGGCAACTCCATCAGGCTGAATCTCTTCCAAATCACTAGTTTCATCTTCAGAATTCTCAGTGGCAGCTGTTTTCTCATCATCTTCTTGTATGAGCTCCTCCACAGAATCATTAACTATTACTTCCTCAGAAACATCAACATCCATGACTTTGACTTTCAATCCAGGAATTTTATTTTTAAGAAAATTTATCACACTTTTAATCCCTTCCTCAGTTGCTCCCTCAATATTTATTCCCTTCTCATCACTTCTTTCTGCCTTACCTTCATCATTCCCCTGAACATCTATAACAGATGCATTCTCAACTTCAGAAGTCGATGGGGATTTTGTAGGCTTGGACGGTGAGCTCGTACTATTTGTAGAACTTCCTTTTGCACGATGTATATAAACTACCTGCAGCATACGTTCCGTCAGAAGCATCTTCCATATTAGAAGGCTCTAGAGCACATGGTAGAACATCTTCTTTTGTGTGTGTGCAAGCAGAAAAAAGCTATTCATCCAGACAGAGTAGATGTGATTATCCAGACGAAGGAAAAATTCTTCAACTAAGTCCAATATATGAAATATATGTACACTCAAATTTAGAAAATTTTCTCCTACAATATACAATCTACAAAAATCCAGCATATTAAAATTGATGATGCATCAAGCTAGAATATTTAAGGCAATTTGTACTTCACCTGCATAAGATATGTTTCTTCATCTTCTTTAACCACAAAAATCTCGAATAATGGAGTTCCAGGTGATGCATTGACCAACTGCCTGCATGCAATCAGTAATTAACAATTATCAATAAATTAACAGTACAAAGAACCTTAGTTGAAGAGAGATTTTTCTCACCTTGGACTGTAACTCCTAGCAACAAATCTACCTACACCAGGTGTTATGCGCACTAATCTACCAAATGGATCATCAGAGTCCTTTGAGTAGCCTACCCACCAGCCAACCTGCCCAACAGAAATAACATTGCTTCGATTAACACCTGGAGAGAGATTGATCTTCTAGAGGTCTGGTTTCATAGGCTGGTAGGAGTTCTATGTGAATGTGATGAGTTACAAACATTTCAGCAACCAACAGAAAATGCACAGCACTGACACCACAAGGAAAAAATATCATAAAAAAGTGTTCTTAAGGAACGTATTTGACCATGGCTTAAAGATGCATCATAACAAACAATACAACTTGCCAGTAAATATTTATAAAAGCTAACCATCAAATTTTAAGTTTCCTATTTGAGGTCAGTATAATTACCAAAAAGAGAGGAGGGCTCGAACATTTGATGATTATGCAAGACCCTTAGATAAACATTAACTCATTATTCCCTGTCATTCATTTAAAATCCCATCATATAAATACCTTTATGGTCATTCACTCCTACAAATGTTAAATTTTCATTTCAACGATTGCTTTAAATATTAAAGGGGAACACCTCGGAAGACTGAAACAGTTATATGATGTTTGCAAGTTATCATTGTGTCCATTCATAAAATATTTTTCTCAAGAATCTAATACTGCTGAGCTTTATATTGTTAGTTTTATAGCAGTGCAACAGAAAGGAAGATTGTTAGAAAAAAAGAACAATATTAGAACCTAAACAATGACTTCCTCAATACTGGAAATCCAGGACAATTGACTATTTGTAGGCTCTTCACTAGAAGGAACACAGCCCAAGATAAGAATTAGTAGCAACCAAAGAAATTACCAGTCCACTTCCCGTAAGTCTAGACAACCGTGAAGCATCATGGTACCGCTCTTCATCTATGGCATTCTGCAGATAAACAACAGATTCCAGTAAAAGCCAAAACATAATAGCACGTTGTTCATTTTAGAAGCTTATACAAGACCTAACCTTCAACTGAGACATGATTTCAGCTACACTGTCCTTTGAAGAAACCTCTGCAATAGCCAACTTTAACTTTGCAGCTTCTTCAAAGTCTTCCTTATCTATTGCATCTTCGAGTTGGAACTACAAGATGGAGCACTCAATCAGACAACATTTATACACACACACATATAAAACTTAACAACTGCAGTTGAATTATATAAGTAAAAATTGAAAGTACAAGCAAACCAAAGTTATAGCACTATACTCACAAGCAAAGAATTGATGACTTATAGCACTTCAATGTCATTAGAAGATAAATTTCAAGTCTTCGTTACATGCCTTCATAATCAGCAATGAGAAAATTTTGAAAAAAGAGATGAAAAGTAATAAATATCACAAATGGGAAGCAAACACAGTAATTTACTCTATTGATTGAAGAATGACAACAAGAAATTTAGCACATTAAGAGTTTGTTCTTATGAAAAAATCGTTATTTATTGATTAAAGAATAACAACAAGAAATTTAGTACAGCTAACGTCATTAGTGAGCCTCACCCCACCTCCTTCCCTCCCTTAACACAATAATCTACATGTTTATATCCAAAGCCACCTTACATCCTCGTTTCCATTTATCCTGTTGACACTAAGAGAGATAAAACCTAACAGCAATAGAAAAGAATAAAAGTCACTGCAAAAGAAAAATATCATGATTATACACCTTGGTTAAAGAGCTGGGTTCAAATCCCCCCTTCCTATTCTTCCATATGTGAAAAAAAGAGGAAAAGAATGGGAGAAAAGTTCACAAGTAGCACATAGCTCCATCTTCCTTCGAGTTATTATTTCTGAGGCAAGTTGTCAAATTATAATTTTGTGGATTTTAGAAATAGTTGGTGTGGCAAAACTTACATGGAGACACAAATTGAAAAAGAAACAAGGAAATCGACACTAGAGAGAAACATGAAATGGGTGTGTAAAGATGGAAATTGCAATTAACTACTAACTAATTAAAACCCCATATAGGAAAAACTTCTCGCGAGGGATGAAAGGACCCCAAAGGAGTTACCTTGAGAACAGAAGCATAACTCTCAGCCTGCTCAATCTCAGAGAAATGGCGGTTCCATCGATTCCAATCCCATTCAGAAGAACTGATGGTTTGACTGTTGATGGGGTTGTTGCAGCTGCAACGCCAAGAAGAGTTATTCGATTGGTGCCTCGAAAATGGCCTGTTTTGAGCAGCAGCAGCAAGAGTCCAATTCCAACCCAAAACAAAGCTCAAATTGGATGATTTCTTGGGCGAGAAATCGATACAACAAAAGGGTTTCAGCTGAGGAAATGAAATTGATTGTCCGACACCACAAACATGGTTGCTAACTATCATCTTTGTCTTCTGAATACAAAGGATGTCCCCAAACTCTAAATGAATCTGTTGCGTCTTAGTATGAGTGGAGTTTTCTGTTTTCTGTTTCTTAGAGAGTTGTGGGTTTCAATCAACCGTGTGCAGGGATGAATGGATAACATGGGTAGAAGCATAACACATACACTTTGGAATTCGGATATATCCGTACCACTGAATTCGTGGGGTGATCCAACATGATTTCCTGCCTTTACTATTTAGATTATGGTCGGTTTAAGGTAAATTCAGACAAATAATACAGCTGGAATAATTAATTAATAAAATAAAATATTTTTAAATTTATTTTAAGATTTAAATTATTTATTACAGTATGCGTTAAATTTTTTACGTAAAGATAATGAGTTTAATAAAATATTTTAAAAGAACAGAACTTATCATATGAGATTGATTAAAATTGTATGAAAATCGTTATATTCATATGATAAGTTTCAAACTCGTCATCACGAGTTTCACGTGCACAATAAATAATCTAGATCCTACAATAATTCTCAACCATCCTCTGCTAGAAAATTTTCTTGCACGTATTATTTACCTAATTTTATCTCGGGTTAACCCTATGAACTTTAGTAAGATCATAAATATCTATTTAAATATTTAAAAAATATTATTTTATAATTATTTTAAATTATTAAATAAATAAATATTTAATTTTTGTGTATTTGAAATTTGAAATTGTTATTTTTATTTATTAACTCGATTTATGTAATTTAGGTTAGTAAAACCCCTATACCAAATCCCGGGAACTAGGGATGGCAAACGGGCGGGTCGGGTGCGGATACCCCCTCTCCCATCTCCATACCCACCTAATATTTTTCAATCCACCACCCGCCCACCACCCATGATGGGTACAAATTTTCAAATTCACACCCGCCCACGCGGGTACATTTTCAAATCCATCCCCACACCCACTACCCATTAGCGACATACCCATCTAGACCCACCTAAAAGCAAACTAATGGGATGTTGGAGTTGGTTCCCAGACAGTTCGTGATGGGGTAGCAGCGCATGCTTCAATTTGTCAGAGGAGTGGCTCTACGAATGTTATGGAGACAGATTGTAGGGAGCATGTAGTCGCAGAGCTGGATTGTTGAGTTGCTTTCGATGTTAATGCTTATAGTGCGCCTAATATGGGTTTTGAGGGGCTAAAGAACATGGAAACTGTTGCTTTTGATGTTAATGCTTATAGTACGGCTAATTTGTGTTTAGATGGGCTAAAGAACATGGAAAGTGACGTGGTTAGTGGGATTATGGTTTTAATCAAAGAGCCGGATATTTCCCTAATTAAAGACCAGATTAAATACTAAATATCCTTAATATTTGGTTAAATTATATGTTATACATTATACAATATTAAAATTTATAAATTAGTCTCTAAAATTACAACTAAATTCATAATGGTCCAAAATTTAATAGATATTTAGCTGGGCGGGCGGATGTGGGGCGGGCGGATGCGGGGCGGGTAATGTCTCAAACCCATTACCCGCCCACCACCCACGACGGGTACCACTTTATAAATCCACACCCGCCCACTACCCGCTAAAATTATACCCATCCCCGCTCCAATTGGAGCGGATGCGGTGCGGAATCCACGGAACTGTACCCGTTTGCCATCCTACCGGGAACCAATGGCAGCAATTTACAACCATTTGATTAGAACAAAGGTGGAGGGTTTGTTTCACAGGTAGATTCTATTATACAATCTAATAATTTAAGGTTAAAAACCAACGGAAACGAGCACGACCAAAAATATTATATGTTGAATGTAATTTAAAATATTTTTTTATAATATTTTCGTTCGAATTTAAAAAGTTACATTCCTTATAAAAATTTGAGTTAATTATTACATATCCTCAAAGTATGATTCTCATTTTAAACTAGTACATAAACTTTTAAATATTTCAATTTCATCCCTAAAGTAGCCCTCAAACTTTTGAGCATTTCAATTTCATCCCCAAACTATGACTTTCATTCTAAATTGATCCCTAAACTTTTTGAACATTCCAATTTCATCCCAAGTTATATGTATATACTAATCACATCATTTTTTAATAAAATTGTTAGGCCAAATTATATTATTATATGTTTGAAAAAAAAACAAAATTCAGGTTAAACTGTGATTGAAACCAATTACATATTTGGATGAATTTGGGGATGAAATTGTAATATTCAAAAGTTTGGGGACCAATTTAAAAAGAGGGCCATAGTTTAAGGATGAAATTATGATGCTCAAAAGTTTAAGGACTAATTTAGAATGGAGATCATAGTTTGATGATGAAATTGAAATAATCAAAAGTTTAGGGATTAATTTAAAATGACAGTCATAGTTAGGGGCATATGATGTAATTAACTCTAATATTTTTTATTAACAAACAAAAATGTTACTTCATTCGTAACATTTTAAGTTAAACAAAAAATATTATGAAAACGAAGAAATTTTAAATTACGTCCAATATAAAATATTATTGTTTTATAATGTTTTTAATCGCACTGATTTACGCCATTTTTTAATCTAATTTTGTTTAGACTTTCGTATGTTTCATAAGGGGAGGGAAGCACTAGGACAAGGACATGCATGTTTGAGGTACACTGGCATCTACCATTTATCTCAGCTCAAAGACGAGGGTGGGCCTCCTCTTGTCCACACTGCTAAACCACACATATTTTATATCTCAATCCAACCATTAATCTCACTTGGACCCCTACATCTACATACACATATACTCCATATATAACATTTGGTTGGTTTACTTCCATTAAACTTTTAACATGCAATAAAGTAATCTCATGTGCTCTTAAAGCTTAAATTTATTTTATAAAGAATGTGAACATAATTAAATTCGAAAAATTATAAGATAATATTTATTTTAAATTTTTTTAACTATTAACTATGTATATATATTTATAAACGTATCTTCTTAAATCTAAGACGTTTAAATAGATAATTACCCTACTTAATCACTAAAGTTACTTGATGAATTTAATGTCACACTCTTACTACTAATAATAAAAAGCTAAATAATGAAAAGGGACAGAGTTTGGTTATATTTTTGGACCGACAGATAGGTATACAATTGTAAGGACTACGTACTGAATTTTATACAAAAAATACCTTTTGAGCTTATTTACATAGTTCATGCTTGAATGTCTGATTAATTTAATTAAATATTATATACTTATGATAAAAATAAAATTTTAAAATTAATTCATAATATTAAAATTAATTTTTTTATTTTATTTTAGAAAAATATATTATTTTATCTCTTAAAAATAATAAGTAACTAGTAAAAAATTTATATTTTGAATAGTACGAAACTATGAATATATTAAAACTGAGAAAAAAAAGGGAAACAGTAAACGAGGAATTCGAAGCATTGAAGGAGTAAGAAGAGGAGACCGTAGTGACTAGTGGCCAGTGGGTCAGTTACACGTTGTGTACGGGCAATTCCATGTTCCCACATGGATTATTGCGATTGGTTTTGGAGCAAACTCAACAAACTCTGTTTCTCTTCTTCCTTTCTTCTTCTTCTTCCACATCAAACAACATGGACTAAAAAGCAACTCTCTTTTGGTTTCCATCAATCACTTATCAACCAAACTCCCCTCATTTCCTCCCTTTCCCCACTGATTTTGAGCAAAAAGTTGAAGACTTTTCAATGAGTTTGAAGGAAGGCGGTGATGGGTTCGTGAGAGCAGATCAGATTGATCTGAAGAGCTTGGATGAGCAGCTCGAGAAACATCTCAACAGGGTTTGGACAAGTGACGGCACCAAGCTTAAGAAAGATGTTGCTGATGGCGATGGTGGCGGTGATCATGTTGCTGTTGATGATGGAAAGCTCAGGCTTGCTCGGAGCAACTCCGACAAGCCTGCAACTTTGGCCAAGAGGGAGAGACTGGAGTGGGAGATTGACCCGTCCAAGCTCATCATCAAATCTGTCATTGCTCGCGGTACCTTTGGCACTGTTCACCGTGGCATCTATGTCGATCTGGATGTTGCTGGTCTGATTCTAAATGAATTCCTTTTCCTTATTATTCTTGTCCTTGGACCCTTTTAAATGAATTGACTTAGACTGCTACTCAGATGGTCTGCATTTAACCAGATTTTGTTTTTTATACAAAGGCTTTACTCTAGTTTTTGGTGCAATTTTGGATTCTCGTAATTGTTTCTTCAAGTCCCTTCATTTCATAGTTCATTAGCCTCAGTGTTGCTATGTTTCTGCGGGTTATTCATTTGGATCACCACCCGTTTAGTCTATTTCTGGTCTTCTTTCGACTATTATGGAAGTCTTGGGAGTCCGTGAGTCACCATGGGGTGGGGTTGAATTTCTTGGTTCCATCAACAACAACTTTCATGTGATCCTAGCTCTTAATTATTACATTATTTCATGTCGGATAAACAAGGAACGAAAAGAATTATACAGTTCTAATATGTTATTTGCTGGTTATGGTAATCACAGATAGTCTCTAATGGCAGCCAACATAAGATCTATTTCATGGATTGGATTTGATCTTATGACCAAGATTATTTGTTTTAATACAACGTGTTTTGGTGTTCAGTGAAGCTGCTTGACTGGGGTGAGGAGGGCCACAGGACGGAAGCTGAGATTACCGCACTAAGGGCAGCCTTTTCACAAGAAGTTGCTGTTTGGCATAAACTTGAGCATCCCAATGTTACCAAGGTCAATTTCTACTTAAGAAGATCTTTTTTATTTCTTTTCGTAATTTCCCCTTCCCTTTAATCGTGATGATATTTGCTGTTGGATCTTTTATTAACAATATTCATACATAAACGCTTGAAGATTTTCGTCTGCAACCATGACTAAAAGCTCACTAGAATCGCTGTTAATTTCTTCACAAGCTTAATGTCTATAAAGCTATGGGGTTGCTGTAATGTTATTAAAGGTATCACCTGTTTCTGGGACCACATTGAAACTCTACAACACCTTCAGCTCCAAACAGAATGAACCGATGAATGAATGCTTAGAATATTAACTTGCTGTAATGTTATTAAGGGCATCTCCTGTTTCTGGCACCATATTGAAACTCTCCAAAAACCTTCAGCTCCAGACAGGACGAACCCATGAATGAATGCTTGAGGAGATTAACTTCCCAACAAATTGAATATATATTTGAAAAGACAAATGACTTTTAACTTTGCCGTTTTAGCAATCACTTAACTTCTATGTAGTTTCTTATTCTTACGAGTTATGGTTTATACTTTCCAGTTTATAGGGGCAACAATGGGCTCATCAGGGCTACAGATACAAACCGAGAATGGCCAAATCGGCTTGCCAAACAGCGTGTGTTGCGTTGTTGTGGAATATCTTCCTGGCGGTGCTCTGAAATCTTATCTTATAAAGAACAGGAGAAGGAAGTTAGCTTTCAAAGTGGTTGTTCAACTTGCTCTTGATCTTGCAAGAGGGTAATTTAACATATATATCTCCCATTTTCTATTTTTAGTTTCTTTTCTTTATTGTGTTTGGTTCTTTTACTGCTCAAGCATATGGCACCTTATATTCTCTCTCAAACTTTAGACTTAAAGGGGGGATCTCTCTATTATTTTGTAGGTTGTGTTACCTTCATTCACAGAAGATTGTTCACAGAGATGTAAAGACGGAGAACATGTTATTAGACAAGACATGTACGGTGAAAATTGCTGATTTTGGAGTTGCTCGCGTGGAAGCTTCAAATCCTAATGACATGACTGGAGAGACTGGAACCCTTGGCTACATGGCTCCAGAGGTATGGATGTCATTGTTATTTTAGTTTTACCAGATTTCATACGGATTTGAGGTTTTAACTTTGGAGCTATTTCATCAATGTATTGGTTCTTCATCCGACTTTATTGTTCAGCTAACTAGACTGAAAGTGAAAGAAAAGAGGAAAAAATGTGGTTTAAATGATTAGTTACTCATTAAGTGGGAGATCTTTTCAGGTTCTCAATGGCAACCCATATAACAGGAAATGTGATGTGTACAGCTTCGGGATATGTTTGTGGGAGATTTATTGTTGTGACATGCCATATCCTGACCTTAGTTTCGCTGAAGTGACCTCGGCTGTGGTTCGTCAGGTATATTAACTTTGCTTTCTTTCCCTACGTAGAGTAGACCGTTATTGTTCCCTCCCCCTTCTCATTGCTAATTTACATTATCCGACACTATTCCAGTTATGTTCATGTAGGATGCATGGTTGTATCTTACTCTCACTAGCATTGTTGCTAATTATCTTTTTTTTTATAAGAATTTCAGACCTCATTAAAAACCCCCTTCTTGATTAATGGAGCTTGTAGGGAAGCTCCTTAATCAGCGGAAGGAGGAAAAGAGTGCCTTAGGATTTTATTGAACAGTAAAAACACATAAGATACAACCAACAATACAACCGACAAAACCACCCCAACAGAACCAAATAAGCTGGAAACACCCATAAAACACAAAATCAGCGAAAACAACACTAGTAATCCCTTTACAAAACACATAAAATTCATACACCACCCTAAACAGCCATCAACAACTTTACTGACTCAGCCTATGCCTTCTTTAGCTAAGGCATCAGCCTCTAAATTGGCTGTCCTACTAACCCATCTAACAACACCTTCAAAGGCATTAAGCCTATGAGCAATATCTTTAATCAAGAAGGCATATACAACAGGACATAATTCATCCCCCTTAATCCAATCCACATCCACCTTACTATCACTCTCTATAATCAGACAGTCCTTGATCCTCTGTCGATAGTTTGCAAAGAAAGACAACCCCATAAGAATAGCCTTTAACTCCATCAACGTAGGCGGTCCCGGACCAGCAGTTTCCTTGAAATAGCCTATAATAGAACCTGAGGAATCTTTTAGAACTCCTCCTAACCCGCTTTTCTTCCAATCCCTTGTAGTGGCAGCATCAACGTTTAATTTAACAAAACCCAAAGGAGGAGGAGACCAAAGTAAAGTAGGAGAAATCTGAGTAGAGCGAAGAGAAAACAAGTCCCCAAGAGAAGGATCGGAAATGAGTGAATCTTTAGGAATAGACACTTCTTTATACTTTGCTAAGAACCAAGAAGCAAGCCTAAACCTTGCTAAAAAGAAGAATTCTGCCTTATCAAACTTTCCCCCTTCAAACACCACGAAATTCCTCATTTTCCAAGTAGTCCACAGAACGACCCCTGGAATAAAAGGCCAAATCAAAGAGTTAGACTTTAAACCATCCCAAGCTAGAAAGAAGCTTTTAGCGTCCGCTGGTAAAACAGAACAAATCCTCCAAAAACTTAAAAACTTATTCCAAAGGGACCACACCATCGAACAAGAGAAAAACAAATGAGAGGGAGACTCATCCGGCATCTTACATAGGGGACACAACACATCTTCAATTCCTTGAACACCTCTTTTGACAAGTTTAGTCCTAACAGCCAGCTTCCCATGAGCGATCTGCCAAAGAAAACACTCTACTCTTAGAGGTAGTAGACCTCTCCAAATGATCTTCCAGAAAAAGACCTCCTCCGATCCCAAAGTCTCGAATGAACCTAGATTAACAGCTGATCTAACAGTAAAAACCCCATCCCTAGTACCTTTCCAGATCACACGATCAGGAAATTCCGAAGAAAGTGAAAATTTTGTAATGATAGCCAACAAGTTAGACCATTGTTCAAGTTCCCAGTCATGAAGATTTCTTCTGAACTTGACATCCCAAGTCCAAACGGAAGAGATATACTCCCCAAATTCATATAATTTCCCAAACTGATTTAAGGAAATAGAAAATAGTCTCGAAAAAATGACATCAAGTGGATGATCCATAGCCCAAATATCTTGCCAAAACCGAATATTTTTACCATCACCAACATGAAAACTACTCATGCTTCTAAACTTACTGCCAAAGAAGTCTTCTTTAAAATAATATTTTAGCAGTGATCTCCAAATCCAGGATACCTTAAGTGGAAGCTTACTGTCCAGAGTTAAAACTGAAGAATCGAGTCTATATTTGGTACAAACAACTTCCCTCCAAACTGAGTCCCTATCATTTGCAAACCTCCAAGTCCATTTCCCCAAAAGCGCTCTATTCATCCTAAGCCCCCTTCACTCTTCGGCTTACTAACATTGGACTAGCTAACCCAGTGAATTTTTCTAATGCCATTTCCCCCTCCCCATAGGAAATTAGACATAATAGAGTTAAGGGTTTTAAGAACCAAAGTTGGAATTTTAATATGGAATGATAATATGTAGGAAGCGAACATAGAACCGTCTTAATTAACACTAGTCTCCCTGCTAAAGAGAGAGATGCTGCTTTCCACCCGGATAACTTGTTAAAAAAATTATTAATGACAGGTTCCCAAATAGCTGCAGAATTTCTAGTAGCACCTAGGGGAAGTCCTAGATATTCAGAAGGAAATCTCCCAATTGAACATCCAATAGAAGTAGCCCATTCCAGCAGTTCCTCCTCATTAACATTCACACCAAACAATTTACTATTCTTCAAATTCAGCTGTAGACCATAAACCACTTGAAAAACTCGAATCACCCTTTTGACATTCTGAATTTGCATCTTCGAGGCACCAGAAAATATAATCAGATCATCCGCAAACTGTAAATGTGACACATTTACAGACCCCTGTTCTCTGCCAATCACCATTCCAGAAAACAAATCCTGTGACACTGCCCTTCGAATCAATAGATTAAGTAGCTCCCCTACTAAATTAAACAACAAAGGAGACAACGAACAACCCTGACGAAGACCTTTAGCCATTGAGAATTCTTCAGAAGGAACTCCATTTACAAGAATCAAAATAGAAGCTGTGGTTACACACTGCTCAATCCAGCCCCTCCATCTGGACCCGAATCCCATTTTCTCCATTAATTTAAATAAAATAGACCACTCAACAGAGTCGTAAGCTTTTTTGAAATCAACCTTGAATACACAACCCTTGAGTCCATTTTTTCTCCAATAATCCACTCCTTCATTAGCAATTAAAAACAATCTAGAATATGTCTACCCGGTATGAAGGCAAACTGAGTTGGACTAATGATGTCTGAAACGCAACCCCTCAATCTCCTCGACAAACACTTAGAAATGATCTTATACAACCCACCAACTAGGCTAATTGGCCTAAAGTCATCTAGACCACCAATGTTAGAGACCTTTGGAATGAGAGTGATAAAGGTATGATTAACCCCATGTTCCCATTCTTTCCCCAAATAAAAATCATGAAAAAATTTCATAATATCAACCATGAGGGCATGCCAAAACCTTTTGAAGAAGCCCATATTTAAACCATCCGGTCCTGGTGCTTTATTACTATCACAAGATTGTATAGTCTCCCAGATTTCCTCCTCTGAAAATTCCTTCTCTAAACTTAGATTCTGCTCAACTAAAATACTAGGAAAAATCAACCTGATCTCTTCCACCTCTAAAGTCGAATGCTCATTGAAAATCTTAAAGAAGTGGTCCCTAATAATGGTCTTAATGACAGAAGGTTCTTGAATAACATTACCCCCGATATTCAAGGCATTCAAAGCATTCCTCCTCTTCTTAATCGAAGCACAATTATGAAAAAATCTTGTATTTCTATCTCCATCTTCTATCCATTTTGATCTGGACTTTTGGAACCAGATTTGCTCCTCTATTTTATAGAGTCTCCACAATTCTATTCTTGCTGAAACTAACTCTGCTGCCATTCCACTGTTAACACCATCCTGCAACTGTTGAATATCCAATTCTAGACTGTGGATCCTCGATTCTAAGGCTAAGATACTAGCCCCAGGAAATTGGACCCTACTGCCGGCCCAATTCTTGATAGCAGTTTTTGTATTTCTCATTATACTATAAATTCTAGCCTTCCTCTGCTAATTCTTTCTTTCTTGAATAGAAGATCTGACCAAATCCTCAAACCCAACTTCTTCCATGAGATAGTTAAAAAGTTTAAAAGGCTTTTTACCCTTCTATCAAAAAAAAAAAAAGGCTTTTTACCCCAATTGACACCTCCATTCTCCAGCAGAATAGCATTATGGTCTGAAAGAGATCTAGGCAGTAAGGTTTGCACCAAATCAGGAAATGCACCAAGAAATTGGCCATCAACCAAAAATCGGTCGAATCTAACATGTGTACGGGTATCTTGATTATTGCACCAAGTAAACCTTCCTCCATTTAAAGGTAAATCAATTAAGCCTGTTTGCAGCATAAAAAGATTGAATATCCTCATTGAATTCCTGTTCTGAGTTCTTCCGATCTTCTCTCCATCATGCAAATAAACATTAAAGTCCCCCCTACACAAATAGGAGCCCTCTGACCACTTATGAACATGCTCAACTCTTCAAAAAAACTATCTTTCTCCTCCTCTATTGAAGGGCCATAAACATTGATGAAAATACAACTGAAATTATTGACACGAAATTTTCCGGATAAGACAATGAATCTTCTGTAGATAGACTGACTTTCTAATTCGAAAACTTTATCATCCCAACAACTCATTAAACCCCCTGATGAGCCAACCGATGGAGATTCAAGGACTCCTTTAAAATAACTAAACCCCTTTCTTCTAAGCATAGATCTAGGAATCTTCTCCATTTTCGTTTCTTGCAGCCAAAGAAACTGTGGGTGATTTTTATCAATTAACCTCTGAATAGCCCTCTGTTTTTTCTTTCCTCCTTAATCCTCTCACATTCCATGAAGCAATGATAAAATTAATCTTCATCATTAATTAGTCCACAATCTACATCCCCATCAAGCTCTCCTCGATTAGCCTTATTCAAAGCTTTCTCCAAGCTGATAATCTTATCCAGAAAAGCCTCCTTCCCTTGCTTAAAAGACACCCCCAATAACTTGCTGATTTACCAAGTTGCTAAGGCTTCCTCCACTAAAATCGAAAAATCTGAAGTAGAAACTGTTGAGATTGACACCTGTTCATAAGCTTCCCTTAACAAGCATCTTTTAGCTCTTCTAAAGTCTGAGCCGGAAATGAATCTAGATCTATCACCTTCTGACAACTCTATTGCAACCTCCACTTCCACTATCTATTGAACAACTTTTGAGGGTTGAAAATTCTCCTCCTTATTGGTCCAATCCTCCTCTCTTTCAGGAGTAACATTCAGAATATTCCCATGCCAGAATTTCCTGCTCGTCGACCTTGAATAAAACCTCTTATAGCTGCTTGTTTTCCTTCTCTCTAACGAGACACTTTTTAAAGACAACAATCTTTTATTTCTGTACCGCGATCTCCCCCTTGAGAAGCTTTCTGCCATATTTATACTTGGCTCTAACAACATTAACTGCTGCCCAACTTGTCTAACTTCAGCCTGAAGACACTTCTCTAAATCTGACTCATTTCCCTCTTCTTAATTAGCATTTCCAGAGTTAACATTTTTGTGCTTGAGGATCATTTTGCCAAACTTGTCAATATTAATTGCTGGATCAGCTGGAATAATTTTTGAGCCAACAAGCCCAGAAAATCCCTCATTATCTGATTGGGCCTGTGATCCAAAATCAGAAAATTTTGACTTTCTAATTCCTAAGTCGGCATAATCACCAACTTTTATACTCCCAATACTCTGACTTTCTGACAGTTCACCATTAATGTCAATCCTATCTATAGAAAGTCTACCGAGTTGTTTTTCCCCACCAACTACCCCAGAATCAGAAAAGCCTATATTGTCAAACCAGGTGTCAACTTTTTGCCGAAAATCTTCTGCTGAAACATCTATATCATTCCCACTTTCTGACAACAATTTGAATTCTTCCTCTACAGTGACCTTCTCTCCACAACGTCCCTCACCGTGAACTTCCACCGGAGAGTTGCCAAAAAAGAACTTGAAGACTGGCACGCCGATCCCACCTTGATGCACACTTTAAATGATGTTCCATAGGAACCCAGAGAGATCACCTCCGGAATATCAAAACAACTTTCCACCCTTAATAAAATTTTCGCCGTTGTGAGGTCTTCTTTTTTCCTAGTGGCTTCATGAATGTCAACAACTATCCCCCATCCCCTGCTATTTGTTCGAAGAACTGATCATTCCAGCATAACAGAGGGACCCCCACTAGTTCCACCAAACAAAAGGCCATTGGGACACCATCATCACTCAACAAAGGGGCTAATCGATCAAACCAGAACTCTAGTTCTTCTTTCCTCTTCAACCAAGTATCCCTCATCTCTTCCGATGAATTAAAGACAATCACACAAGAATTCCACACATGTCCCCATCTGATAATTTGGACTTCGAAACCCTCTTTAAATAGCGCCTTCTTGACCGACTCAATCTGCAATGAGTGTTTAATAATCCCCGTTAATGACCTTTTAACCCAATTGGAACTTTCAGAAGGAATATGCATTTCCAAAGTATTTTTCTTCACTTTCCCCCTATGAATATCATCGGATGAAAACGCTTTATTTCCCATTGCACTTTTGTTTGACAACAAAGCCTCTTTATAAGACCTAGTATCCCTAAAACAATTGTTTAAAACTTTCGCCTGATTGGAATTGGATGTTCCAGCAATGTTCTGACTGGGGACCTTCTTTGTAGCAACATTCCTTCCCTCATACCAGGAAGAAGCTCCCTTATACCTTGCAAGACCAACTGAAATCTTTCTCCCATCTATCAGAACACCATTTAAGACCTCGGCTGCACTCTTCAAACCATCCTCACTCTTAAACTGAACAAAAGCAAACGTTGAAAATTTGTATTTTGGGTTCCTAGTGACTTTGGGAATGAAAACTCTCTCAATAGAACCATGTACTATGAAAATATCCCTTAATGAACGTCGGGACACCCTCCTACTAAGATTGTCGATGAACACTGTCCAGTTCTCATCGGAGACTGACTTTCCTTTGAGACTCTCCCTCTCTACGTTTTGCTCTCTCTCTCATTTTTTTCCATTGTTGCTAATTATCCTTGCATTGAACAGAATTTGAGACCGGATATACCAAGATGTTGTCCCAGCTCTCTTGCAAACGTGATGAAACGATGTTGGGACGCAAACCCCGACAAGCGACCTGAAATGGATGAGGTAGTCTCAATGTTGGAGGGAATAGACACATCCAAAGGTGGAGGTATGATTCCTATTGATCAACAGCAGAGCTGCCTTTGCTTCCGGATGTATCGAGGGCCTTAAAAGAACAACTCTTAAATGCATATAGGAAAAAAAAAAAGACTGCAAGACTGTTGTTTAAAAGGTTAAACAAGTCTAGTTTGTATTATAACGAAAACAAAACAGACAATCCAAGCCAAGCCAAGAGGAAAAAGTGGGCTTAGAAGCTATGCCCTATTCCACTTTGTTGAACGATTGTAAAGCTGTTTCCTTTGCTATTTTCTCTTTTAATTTTTTGGAGGTTCCATCTCAGTATGTGTAATTTTTATATTTGCCAGTCTGGGTGTGAATTGGCCCCTCCTCCCTGTCTGTAAGAACACTCTTTATACACTAGACTTAATAATTAAGCATTATTAAAGTTGATCTACATTAGAATTCAAGTTTATTTTCTCTGTTATCACTCTCATTTCTCTCAATGATCCACTTGTGCTTGACCTCACCCGAGCTCTGGACTTCTTTACTCCGAGCAAGGAAGGAGATCCCACGAGTGCAAAACAGTCCTTATCACCAACACCTATATGTAACAGTGAAAAACGAATATTACACACACTGCCGCAATGAAGACGTGGGAAGAACAGCTGCACATAAAAAGCTTCTGTGGTGTAGTGATGATTTTAAACCTTTTGAAATAGCTTTGGATCCCGATTGTAGAGTATCAGACGCCTGTGATCCACTGTCGGCTGCAACAGCGGAGTCTTGGGTATTACAAAGGATGCCTGATAGATATGTATATAACATACCAAGAGTCGTACAGTTTAAAGAGAAGGGAATTAGAGGTTCTTTTAACTAAAGATAAAGCAACATGAAAGATGGTTTTATACATTAGATTGTTAGAACGTAAATGCAAAAGATTGAAAACTAGAATTCAAGTCACCTTATCTCATCTTCCAGAAACACGTTTTCTTTTTTTTGAATAGTCCGTCCAAACACACGTAAATAATAATGAGTATAAAAAATACTTGCGTGATTACAAAATTTCCACTTCATAGTAAAAGTAACTGCGATAATGATAGAGATGTAGTCATTAGCTCCTGCAAAAACTGAGCTAATGTCTCGAAATTCAAATCATAACGACTGTAAGTATATATTTACAAGTACAAAACGAAAACAATCCTTGATCACTGTTACCAAACATGAACTGACTGTTCATGTGTAAATGCTTGACACCCTTGTCTAGATGAGCTTGTTTCATGGAACTTGTGAAGAATCTTGATCAGTGAGCGAGCTTTCTTGCTCGCCTTAGTTGTGCCATCTGTCGTGAGCGAGTACAGGGAGTTCATAACCAAAGGATCCTTAGCCAATACAGCGATGGCCTCGTCATCATCACTGTTACAGCAACACAGTAAGATGGAAACACAATGCTCCTTTGCCGCTTGAGATGTTGAAGATTGCAAAATCCTTGTTATTAGAGGCAAAGATGAAGCCCGGAGAATCGCGAAACTCTCTGCCAAGCTCGCGAGAAGCGCTACTGAATCTGTAATGAGCTCGTGCTTGTCTGATGAAGCAAGGATATCCAGGAGCAATGGGATGGTTCCGGCATCGATGACCCTTCGACGGTTTCCAGGATATAAAATGAGTCCAAACAGAGCTACCACTGCGTTTTTTCTCCCACAAGGCGTACCTTCCTTGATGAGATCCACAAGTGCTGGGATTGCCTCATCCATTTCCCCAATCAATTTCCTATACCCTTTCACTGAAGAAAGGTAAAATATTGTTGCAGCAGCTATTTGCCTGGCTTCCAAACTCATTCCCATCTTCAGAACTGCAAGAATCGACCTCAATCCCCCACTTTCAACTATCACTTTCTTCCCACTGGCATGCTTTGAAAGCTTCAACAAAGCTGCAACTGCATTCTCTTGTATGGACTTATTGAAAGAATACAAAAGGTTCAAAAGAGGCGGGATCGTGCCAGCTTCAATCAAGCAAGACCTGTTATAAATGTTCGATTTCGCAAGCAGACGAATCTCGTAAGCGGCCTTGTTTTTCTGCTCACTGGGTCCAAAAATCAGCTTTCTCACTAGGAGTTTTGACAGAAACCTCAATGCCTCCGCGGCCGCCGGACTCCCGGGAACGATTGTCGTCGATATGTCGCTGTTTTTCTTTCCTTTTTTGGCGAGAGATACCCCATTATCAGCACAAAACTGATGGATTAGCTTGCGGAGATTTGTGTTCGGGACCAATTCGGTGCTCGCTAGTTTCTCCCCTGTTTTCGGACAAATGGTATGCCCTGCTTTCAACCATTTTTGTATGGAAGACCGATCGTATGTTTGTCCAGTGGAGACAGTGACCGGATCGATCATTAGTTCCAGCGATATCGGGCAGCGAAAATCTTCGGGGTTCAAGCAACTAAGAATCTCCATGTTGCATTGTACGTCAGTTTGATCGGCATTTTGACCATCCAATGTATCGAACATCCATCCCCGGCAATAACACATGAACCCCAGCAAACTACTTAGAAATGGTACTTCTCTTTCCTCACCTTCAACGCATTGTTCTTCCAAGAATTTGACTTCCTTGTTGCAATCGCTCCAGGTTCTGATCTCAAGATAATCAAGAACCCGTTTTAAAATTTGAAACTCGGGTTCGATTCCCTTCTCGAACCGATCCAAAAAGGAAAGAACTCGTCTCGTGGCTCTTTCACCATGAGGATCGATCTCGATTTTCGCCTTCCGTGCCTGCTTCGCTACCAACTCCACCAATTCCTTCACTTCGGCACAAACATCAATCGAATCCAATGGCAAAACATCTAGCGCTGTAGCAACAGTTCTAATTAGCACTCGAAATTGAGTGGCCACCATCTCCGACTTCATTAAAATCCATAGGCTGGCTCCTTCTCGACAGCAATCCTCCAACAAGAAGTTAATTTTCTGGAAAGTAAGATGAAGCTCAGAGAAGCAAAGCACAGCCGACTCGGAAACAACTAAACCGCGATCGTGAATCTCCTCGAGAAACACGAGGAGTATCCCAATTTGTCGAATCGCTTCCCGTGCATTTCTTCTTTGAGTAGAAAAGGATTTTGACTGGTAATTACTGATATTCTGAGAAAGAATAATTAATGAGCGGAGAAGGGTCCCCGGAGAAACTGATTCGCAAGGATGAACAGCCGGAAACGAAAACATCCGGCGGTCAATTTGATCAGATTTTTTTTGTATCATCGAGTATAACTAAAACGGTAGTTAAAAGGAAAAGCAGAGGATGCACAAACTTGTTTACAACTTAGTGAGGGGTTTCAGTTAATCCAATCCAAAATATAACGAGAAAATCTTGGTGGACACGTGGCAGGTTATGAAGGATTACATGACGGTGCCTACTGCTACCGAGTTGACTAGGAGAAGACAGGTTGGGATCGATTTGGCGCCCACAAAGTTCGGACACGTGTCGTATGACACGTGTAGTCTTGAGGTTTGGCAAGTGATTCCTTCTACGAAAGGAGATATGGATATACTTTGAAAATTCAAGGAATGATTCACAACACGTCAAACAAATATCTCCCATCTTTAAAATATTAGTATTATTAACCAAGTCTTTCTATCTTAAATTAAATATAATTGGCAAAAAAACTAACTTCTAGCTTTTTTTTTAATGATAAAATAACTTCAGTAATCGAAAATGCCTTATAATATATGATTTTAATTAATTTTTTTATATTTACAAAAATAACCAACAAATTCGCAACACGAGCTCCAATTTTACAATACAGTTTCCGAATTCGCAACTCAATTTTTTTTTTCGCAACTCAAATTTCTTTTTCGCAACGCGAATTTGGAATTCGCAACACATAAGTCAAATTCGTAACTCGATTTTGACAATTTCGCAACACGAATTTCTTTTTCGCAATACGATTTTTAATTTCACAACTCGATTTTTGAATTCGCAACACAAATTTCTTTTTCGCAACACAAATTTCTTCTTCGCAACTAGATTTTCTTTTCGCAACACGAATTTCTTTTTCGCAACTCAATTTTCTTTTTCACAACACAAATTTTTTAGATATATAAACTACGCCAGCAGCAGCAACAACTCATAACCTAAATCCCTAAATCGCAACTCAGTCTATCTCCATCTCTCACTATCTCCGACGACATCCGTTCCTATATCCGACGACATCCTTCCCCATCTCTAATTTTTTTTACATAATTTTATTTCTATATAATTTTTCAATGATTTCTCTCCCAAATTATCAAGTATCAACTTAAAAAAGTATGTTTTTCTCTAAGTTAGTGATGATATATAGTTTATAACTCGTTTGTTTAGTAAATTAATTTACAATTTGTAGAATGAAATCATCTAATGTTGATCATGTTTGGATAGATTTGTGTTATGGAGGGTCATGGGAGAATGGTAATGGTGTTTTACAATATATGCATTTACCCATGAATCTTCAACTAAAACTGTCATTAAATTTATTAACTTTTGAAACTCTAATGTTACGTGTTTCAAAGAAATTGAATTTAGAGCTTCTAAGTGGATTTAGACTATCTTATTAGAGAAAATGTAAAGTTTATTTGTTAACCAACAATGAAGATGTTGAACGATTCATTGCTTACATTAGTGTTTCGCAAGATGATGTTACATTGTATGTTGTTGAACCTAGAAGTAGTGAAATTGGGTCAGTAACGGGTAGTAATCAACTAAGTTCTTCAGCCCCAGTTTATAGTGCTCACAATGTACAACGTTTTTATCAACCTCAAAATTTCATGGTTCCACCACAATTTCATCACCAAGAAAATTTTGTTTCACCACATTTTCAATACCAAACACAATCTCAAAATCCATAACTTTTCCCTAATCCAAATTCCAATCAACTTTCAACACCAAATTTCGTTTTTCGTATTGACCAGTTAGACGATGATGAGCCAACAGAAAAAATTGTGAGTACTAGTCAGTATTCAAAATTTGATCTTGGTCAATACCCGGACTTTGATCTTGGTCAATACTCGGATTTTGATGATGTTTCAGAAGAAGAAACAGACCCTGCTTGTAATGATTTTGATATTGGTCAATACCCTCATTTTGATGATGAAACAGCCGTTGTCGAGGAAGATGTTGTTGATGGTAATGAGGAGGAAGTTACGGCTCTGAATGAACATGTTGAACATCCATTATGTAATTCATATAACCCTGAACAAGAAAAAGAAGAAGAAAAAGTCCCCGAAGAAAAGAAGAAGAAAGAGCCACTAGAGTATAACTGGAATATGCCAGAATTACTTCAGATACCGGAAGAAGAGTTGGTAAAGGTAGCAGTTGATTGTTACACAAAAGTTATTCGTATCAAGAAAGATGATTGTTTTGATACAAAGGAAGACTTGAAGATAGCTTTGTATACGAAATGTGTGGAAGATTGGTATAAACTAAAAGTTAACAAATCAAGCAAAGATCGTTTCGAAACAAAGTGTAGGATTGACAAAAACTGTACGTGGCGTATGATTGCAAAGAGGATAAAAGATTGTGAAATGTTTCAAGTTATGACTTTTATTGATAAACATACATGTTCAAGAACCCAAGTTTTTCCTCACCATAGATATGCAAACAAAAAGGTGTTGGGTGGTTTTCTGGCTGAGTTAATGTTTTTGAATGACAGGGTATATCGGGGACATGAAATTATGAATGACATGAATGCTCATTGGAATTGTTGAGAGGGTCGCCAGAAGCATCGTTTGCCCAACTGTCGGCTTATTGTCATAATTTAAAGCTGAAAAATCATGGGTCAGTAACTCATATCAAAACAGATAGAGATGGATGTTTTGAGTTGATGTTTATCACCATTGGTGTTGCGGTTAGTAAATCAATATAATTTTGTTGACTCATTTTTGTTAGTTACATGCATTTCACATTTAAATGGTTATATTTCTTGTGTATATTATTTTGTAGATTCGTTCGTTTATTACTTGCATGCGGCCAGTTATTATAGTTGATGGACTACATTTGAAAGGTCGATACCTTGGAGTAAACTTATTAGCAGTAGCCATGGATGCTAAAATGGGATACTGTCAATAGCTTACGGGGTTGGCAAATCTGAAACCTCTGATTCATGGACATAGTTTATGGGGCATCTTAGGGATTGCATAGGTCCTATTAGCAATCTGGCAATCATATTCGATAGGGCAAACTCAATTGACAACGCTATTAGAAGGTGTTTCCCAGATGCTTTTCATGGACTATGTGGTGTTTTTTTTTATATAAATCTAAAATCAAGGTCTGCTGGTATAAAAAATCACAAATGAACATACTGGAAGACTGTAAAAGCTTATCGGAAAGTGGATTTTAATAAATATATAAATTGTTTAAGACCTCAATGTGCTCAAACACTAGAAGATGTCGGGTTTGAAAGATGGTCAAGAGTACATCAACTTGGAGCAATATATGGTTTCATGACGTCTAATAGTGCAGAATCAATCAACGCTCTAAGTCTTCATTCCCGAAAATTACCCATTACTATGTTAATGGAGTTTTTTTGAGCCTCTATTTAACAGTGGTACGATAAGAAAAGAAACCATACAAGTATTATTTCTTTAAATTCGTAACTTATCATATTTAATAGATTTTACTAAGTATTATTTATTTAAATTTACAGGAACATTGGAACGTCGTGTTGCACAATGGACTGAAAAAAAGAGAACGAAACATGTTGTGAAGTCAACGTCATAGAGAGTTGAACCATGTTCAAACACTTTGTTTGAAGACAAACATCTGGTTATCCTTGTGGCCATATTATAAAAGTTGCTCTTCATCTAAACCAAGATGATTCAAGCGCATACGCTATGGATTGCTACACTACAGAAGTATATCGACAAACTTATGCCGAGATTGTCTACTCTATTCCACATCCTTCTAAGTGGGACATACCAGATGACTTACAAACAGTTTTGCCACCAGTCATGGATAGAAGGCTACTTGGCCGACCAAAAAATCATAATCGTATACCGTATAAGGGTGAAGAGAAGAAGATATCGGCATGTAGTCGGTGCAAGGAAAGTGGTCATATAAGGTTGACCTGTGGATCACCAGTGTCATCACAATCATCTTTTCCTCTACCAAAATATGGATCCTCATCAAAATCTAAAGCTCATATGGTGCCAAGAAAAAGGAAATTAAAATCGCATTCAAAATCAAAATCCCAATCACAACCGCCTTCACCTTTTGGGACTATTAACTTAGGTGATTTTTAAATGCAAACGTTGTATTATGTGTATTATATGTGTGAATGCATACATTTTTGCAGTTAGGCATGCATTATAAAGCTGTACTCCTGACATCACATATACTTAACTTGAGTTTGAACATTGCTATGATATGTTCAGTTGTTATCACTTATCAGATTGTTGTCTGTTATCTTCTTTTTGAAGGTGTTTTCCTTGAATTGAAACTAGAAAAAAATATGGTTATTGTGAAATTCTCCATATTCGCAACTCAAATTCGTAACGCGAAAATCGTATTCGGAACATGAAAACTGCAACTCGATATTAAAATTCGCAACTCGATATTAAAATTCGCAACGCGATTTTCGTGTTGCGAATTTGATTTTCGAATTGCGAAACCAATTTTCGTGTTGCGAATTCGATTTTCGTATTGCAAATTTGAATATCGAGTTACAATTTTCGCGTTGCGAATTTGATTTTCTTAAACGTATTGTGCCTTCAACATGTCTTTTTTGCCAACATAATGCAGATTGAAATTAAACAAATCAATTAAACAAGAAAAAACAAATTTTATTTACACTTTACAGCACATCCAACCTAAAATGATCCTAACAATAGGGAGCTTACAGACCTGAGATATGATCAGCCAATGAAATGAGATAAATTAAATTATTTAATCTTTATCAACAAATGGTTGTTTATGCACACTTTCAGCACCCGGTGAGGTTGTAAGCATCTCAAAATTTCTCGGCTTCAAACCTATACATAAAACTCACAAGTGAAAATCATGTACATTCTAATCACAGTTCAAAGTCATACAGACAAGCGAAAAGAAATTCTCACATGGTCATACTGTCGCATATCAACCACTAGAAGCAGGTAGGCAACGTCTCGCATATATCTCTCTAGCCATAAAATGCCGAAACCACAACCCTACTGCAGCTCTATCTCTATCTGTCGGAGGTAGAAACTATTTACCTACTCTCGTCATACGTTCCAAGCACATGCATACAAGCGACCACAATCCCCTCTGGTTATTGACGTTTGTTGTGGCGCTGTCTCGTCT